TGTGATAAGAATACATTATCCATGGGGGGTAGGAGATGGGAAAGGGTGGGAAGGGGAAACAAAGGAGGAGGCAGCAATGCTTGATAAGAAATGTACTCATTACCTTGCCCATGTAATTGTAACCCCTCTGTATGGTATTTTCACAATAAAAAAAAGAATACATTATCCAAGTTTATTTTGAGAGCATTGCAGTTATATATTTTGCAGGTATATATTTTCTTTTAAGACCCCCATTGGGCCATAAAGATAGTGCTAACAAGGGTAAAAACAGTCACAACTTATCAATTGATTGTGTTTCTTTTTTTTTTTTTGGTTGGTTGTAAGGCTTGAACTCAGCACCTGAGTGATTCCAGTGCCCTCTGTATATACATTTTTCTAATTTGGAGGGGAAGGGAAATAACAAAATGCTGAAATAAGGATACAGGTTGACCCATTGTGACAATGAGATGTACAAGACACTATGTTGAAAACGAACTTTACAACTTGGAGGGGGAGAGGAGCCGGGGGTGGGGAGGAGGGAAAGTAGGGATGATAGGGAGAAAACAAAGGATAGGAAAACAATGCTCAGTAGGAAATATACATATTATTCATGTAACTGTTACCCCTCTGTACAGCATCTTAATAATAAAAATATATCAATTTTTTTTAAAACACAAAGAAAATGTTTTTAGGGAAGGTAATTTGTTACTCTTAAAGCTTAACAGTTCTATTTGAAACCTACTCCTGTTAATGGAGTCACAAAGGTATGTCTAAGATGGACATAGAGGAGCTTTCAGACATCTCTGTTTATAATAACAAGCAAAACACTTGGAGCCTACTAAGTAATCAGTCCACCACTGAGTACCAAGATAAATTAAGGTGTATCTGTGGACCAGTTACAAAAATTGGGTGGGACTCCATGTGCTGGGGAAGGAAATTCCCTCAGGCGCATCACTCTAAGCAGAGACAGCCAACTATAAAGATCAGGTCTTTTATATTAAATATAAAAGATCTTGCATTTGCGTTCATTTTACTTCCTGGTGGGAAGCAACAGAATTTTTTGCCTAAAGGAACAAAGCTAACAGGAATGAGGAGATCCAAATGCTCCTTTTGTTTTGGGGGTACATTTTTTTACTATGTGCATTTAACGCTTTTATTTGCATGTCTCAATTCTAACTGTGTTGATCAAGGTAGGGATATATTATGATTTATATGTAGGTACACATATATTGTACTTTTCTGTACTAAAAAATGATGTATCAGCAGTATTCCACAGGTGTTGGCATCTAAGAAACAAACAGATGATTGGCAAAAGTAAGAAAATACGTTTATGATGTTTATGGCTCAGTATGGAATTTTGCTCGTTGGTGGGAGTTTGTATTCCTTTGTGTGTGTGTGTGTGTAGAGGCTACACCACTGTGTTCTCTTTCTGCTGTTGGACACACTTTTGTGTCGTAGCTTCTCTGCTGTCCGATGGCCTCTCTGTCCCATGGGCTGCAGCTCTGAGATCAGCACCACCTCTGGTGAGACCCCCAGTATCCATGTGCTTCCCTACTGAGGTCCATCCCCTCTGCCTCACATACCTCCCTGAGACAGCTCACAGAGCTCTCTATCTGTATTCTTCCTCGCATCTGACTTTAGGGAGGTGTATTGGAATACTCACATCACCCAAATTTGGAGAGTCTCCTCTATTCTAGGTTATTTGGCCTCCTTCCCAGCTGCTACCTGTCTGCAACAAAACCTTCTCATAGGAGAGAAATACTTTGTTCTCTTTTTTTAAATAAGTTTTTTATTGTGAAAATACTGTACAGAGGGGTTACAGTTACATGAGCAAGGTAATGAGTACATTTCTTACCAAGCATTGTTGCCTCCTCCTTTGTTTTTCCCCTACTATCCCTTCCCTCCCACCTCCACAACTAGAGATCGTTCGACCCTGGAAGTGTCTCCTACAGAGATTAAGTAAATGAATATAGTGCACTTCGCTAGGTATTGTTGAAGTTTCTAGCATAGCCATGACCCTGTTTTTGTTTGAAAGTGGGAAATGCTCAAAATTTTGTCACAGGCCTCCTATTTCAGGGAGGAAGGATTTGACACCAGAATGTCTTGCTCATGGTAAAGTGTTCTTAAGGTCTTTCAACTTCTTAAGTCCTGACTCTGGCCACTTCACATATCACTAAATTTTATTTGTATTCTTCAGTGAAGTGGAGAAAATAACAGGTACATACCTCAAAAATGTTCTAAGGATTAAGTGAAAATGGAAAGGAAGTTTTTATAATGATTCCTGACACATTAATAAATTTTGTTGCTATTATTGTTATAGTTGCCCCTTAGTATTCAAGAGGGAGTGAGTCCAAGATCTCCTGGATACCCAAATCCACGGATGCTCAAGTCCCTGGTATAAATAGCAGTAGTATTTGCATATAACCTATACACATTCTCCCTGACTCCTTTAATTTGTCTCTAAATGACTCTTAAAAATTAGCTTGAAGTACTTATACAAAGGGGTTCCAGTTCAACACGTCAGCTTGAAAAAATGCTTCTTGTCAATGTTCTAGATTATTTTTAATGCCTAATTCAGTATAAATGTTACATAAGTAGTTATTACACTATACCACCTTGAATACAAGCACACATTTTTTTCCAAATATTCTCTAGTTGCTTGGACATGTGGATAGAAAACACAAAGACACAGAAAGCCAGTTATGTTAGCACTGTGGCTTTTACTGCCATTGTCATTATGTAGTTTAACCACTAGGTTATAGATTGAGCCACCACACCTGGTTATGAGCTCATATAACTTAAAGCATGCAATATGTATGGAAAACCTTGATTATATCATGAATGGTGTTGCACCGATCTGAACAGCAGTGGTACAAGCACATGGCCAGAAATACAGCCCTACATAAAATCAAGCTTCTGTTACACTGGGCAGGGTAGCCAGGAGTCTGAATTGTTGTGTTCACCAGGATTTGGCTGTTGTGTTGTAAAATGTCATGATGTCTTGCCTAACAAGTTTCTCCCTCCATTTGTAAGTAAAGAAAATGATCCCATTCTGTGCATTGGGAACAGAGCTACCGTAGTAAAGGCAGACTTTTGCATTCTTTTTTTCCTGCATTTCAAATTATTATAAAGGTGATATACAGAGGGCTTACAGTTCCATAAAATCAGATGAAGAGACATTTCTTCATTTCTTTTTGAGAAATGTCACCCTTCCTTTATCCTCTCCCAGCTTTTCTCTCCTGTCTCCACCTACCACAGTTTATAGTTCATTTTCAATAGAGTCTACTAAGTACCAGGCCTTTGCATTCTTATGAACAACATTTCTATGATGAAGTTGAAGAGAAATATGAAAGCACATTCTAAAGGGAAGTAAAAGGGAAATACATCCCTTCTAAACCAGTCCCTTGGTATTAGGTAGAAGTAAACAGATGCCTTGAAGAATAATAGTAAAAAAAAGCAATTGAGTGCTTCCTGTGTGCCAGGCATTGTTCTGAGCCCTTAGTATGTGTCATCTCATTTAACACACATCCCAATCATATTTATAGAGATTGAAAGTATTTCACAAGACAGGTGCTGGTGGCTCAGTGCCTCTAATCCTAGCCTATGCAGGAGTCTGAGGTTCAAAGCCATCATGGGCAGAAAAGTCCATGAGAGCCTAATCTTTAATTAACTAGCAAAAGTTGAAGCTGAGGTATGGCTCTAGTGGTTAGACTGCCAGCCTTGAATAAAAAAGCCAAGCAAGAATGGGAGGCCCTAAGTTTCAGCCCCAGTGTCTCCCCCTCCATACACACACACACACACACACACACACACACACACACACACACACACACACACACACACACATATTTTATGCAGAAGAGTGACCATATGGCACACCTGTAGCAGGTGGTAGGGCTAGGAGTTAGAAGCAGGTAGACAGATTTTAGATTTGGTGTTCACCAAGCCTTACAGAGCCTTACCCACATGAAATGCTTTCCCCCAAAGCATTTTTTAGGCAGGGAGGCGGGGTGGACATGGGGTTAAGGGCAGAGCTTGAGCTCAGGCCTGGGTCCTGTCCTTTAGCTTTTTCACCCAAGGCTAGCACTCTACCACTTGAGTCAGCTCCACTTTGGGCTTTTGGGTTGTTAATTGGAGATAAGAGTTTGACAGACTTTCTGCCCAGGCTAGCTTTGAGCTGTTCCTCCTGAGTAGCTAGGATTACAGGTACAAGCCACTGATATCTGGCCCCAGGACTCTTTTTTTAAATCAGTCATGGGGCTTGAATTCAGGGCCTAGGTGCTATCTCTGAGCTCCTTTTGCTCAAGGCTAGCACTCTGCCAATTTGAGCCACAGTGCCACTTCTGGTTTCCTGGTGGTAAACTGGAGATAAGAGTCTCTCAGACTTTCCTGCCTCAGCTGGCTTTGAACTGCCATCCTCAGATCTCAACTTCCCACATAGCTTTTTTTTTTCTTAAGCAAAGACCACTCCTCTTATTTCTATTGTTTAGTATCTAGAACTAGATGATTTGCCCTACTGAATTTGAAATTACATCATATTATCTATATATAGATATGTGTGATTTTGATAAAATGTAGAATTCCTAACACACACACACACACAGTTTTATTCTATCTCATTTTCAATTTGCAACCATCTCTGTCTTTTGGATTGAGACATTTTTATTCTTTGTCTCCAAATTAATACTGCATAGCACAAGGCTGTGTGTGTGTGTGTGTGTGTGTGTGTGTGTGTGTGTGTGTGTGTGTGTGTGTGCCTGCCGCCTTTTCTTCTGGATTAAATGTTGCAGCCCGGCTGAGTGAGGAGACTTTCTCCCACTCGTCAAGCCCACTGCAGACATGTTAGAATCCCGCTGCTTGCTCCACGCCCAGCAACAGTGGGGCAGGTGATGCTGCGTGTATGGCCAGCCTTCTCTGGAAGTGTCTGCACAGATGTGAGCTGCTTCTCCTGCTCCCTGCCTTCACATTCCCAGAGCCAACACCCACCCACTCTGACAGCCTTTCTCTCTTTTCTTTTCAAGGAAAAAAGAAAGAGACAGACAGAAATAGAAGGCAAGCGACAACAGCTTGACGAGCAGGTACTGCTGCTCCAGCATTCCAAGGTAAGACGCTGCTCCCATGATGCCATGAACCCACTACCATGATTAACCATGCAGATCACACCCTGGAGAGCCGGGCAGAGTCTGCCTGCCCTGCTGCGAAGACGCTGCGTCCGATTGAACCCGCTAGTTCATTCAATCAGGAAACCAGCGCTGAGCTTTTCTGGCGGATTTCTCAGATTCCAGGCATCCTGACAGCGTTCTGATTTCTGCAAGCATGAGATGACAGTGTGCATGTGGATGGGTATGGCTGGGGTGTGCGGTGAAATGTGGTAATTATATATAGAAACCGACCGAGACTACGCCCAGCAGCCCGGGCTGTTTTCTCTGGGTACCAAAAGATGCACTTCACATAATGTACTTTTTAACAATGAAAACTATTAGTATCATTGTTGATGTGTGGAGAAAAGGGAGAGAAAAACAGCACAATCTGATAAAAGAATTAACACTACGTATTACCAATCATCTTTTTTTTTTCTTTCCTACTTCAGCTATTTTAGTGTTCTGTTAGAACAAGCAGTTTGGTCAAAGATGGCTTTTAAATGATTTGATTTGCTGGAGTGTCCATTGTGCCATAAGAAAAACATAGAGCTCTGAGTTTTTCCCCCTTTAAACAGAATGCACTTAAGCATTGTAATTGATTAGAGCCCAAGAGAAAGCTCTGTCACTGTCACGAGGACTCTAGTAGTGGCTGAGTGTTGCTTTCTGCATGTTGAGAGAGTAACGTGACCATGTTCCATGGCCACCTGGGAATCGCTGCTCACCTTTGACTGCCCCTGGGCTTCTTTTTAAAAAAGGAAATGTGCTGTCCACATCAAGTTACTGTGACCCTGCATGTCTGCAATTGATTGGCTCTCAGGGCAGGTTGAGAAGGTAGTGCTGATTCTCAGGATAGTGAATCTCAGGTATGAATGATTTGGATTCTTTTAAACTAGGTGAGACCTGTATGGTCTCATTTCCTATTCTTATCTAGAAAATCAGGTTATGCTGAGCAAATCCTCAAACAAACGTGAATCCTGAGCAAATTAGCTCATGACGATAAAGAACACCATGACCTATATCTGCTCAGCATGCCTATCAGTTTACCCTGCACTTTAACCTGGGAAATGTGTTTAAAGGGGGGAAAATAGTGTGATACTGAGACTATTCTTTATTTCTTTGTATTTACATATATCCCTTTGCAGATTTTTCAAACTCTTCTTTGTAGGAGGCTGCATTATTGTCCATATGTCGTTACTCTTTTCCTGACAACATTTCTGAAGGAGGATTGCAACTAAAATTAGTAACCTCTGCTTTCAGAGTGGGCCTTAAAAACACTAACAGAATCAAGTGAATCACTCAAGCTCAATTGGGACAAGCTTTAGACAACAACACATTAAAACCTCAGTGAATTTGTGGTGGAAGGATGATGTTTTTAATAAGAGAAATGAACAAGAAAGAGAGCCTCTCTTCCTTAACCTCTCTGTAGCTCTTAGCTTTTACGTTCCTTGGATCCCAAGTCAGACAGTTGAACGTATGTCAGAAGACTAAGTCCAGCTTGTCCTACTTTTCATCATTCTGGATGCCAAATAAGATAGTAGAGACACATTTGCTGCTGCTGTTTGCATTCTGTTCTGTTCTGTTCATATGCCATCTATCCTGGTGTGTGTGTGTGTGTGTGTGTGTGTGTGTGTGTGTGTGTGTGTGTGTGTGTGTGTGTGTGTGTGTGTGTGTGTGTGTGTGTGTGTGTGTGTGTGTGTGTGTGTGTGTGTGTGTGTGTGTGTGTGTGTATGATGAAATCGGGCTTAATTAGGACCTGAACTCTGTCATTTAGCTTTTTGCTCAAGGCTGGCACTCATCTACTTCCCAGTCCCACAGATCTGCTTCCATTTTTTTTTTATAGTTAATTGAAGATAAGAATCTCTTGGACTTCCTTGCCTGGGCTGGCTTTGAATCACTGTCCTCAGGTTTTTGTTTGTTTGTTTGTTTGTTTTTTGTCGGTCATATGGCCTGAACTCTGGGACTGGGCACTGTCCCTCAGCTCTTCAGCTCAAGGCTAGCGCCCTACCACTTGAGCCACAGCACCACTCCCGGCTTTTTCTGCTTATGTGGTGCTGAGAAATCAAACCCAGGGCCTCATGCACGTGAGGCAAGCACTCTACCACTGAGCCAACTTCCCAGCCCTAGGTTTTAGACTCTTAAATAGCTAGGTTTACAGGTGGGATTCAACAGTGACCAGCCTATCAATTCTCTTGTCATCTGTCAATCCATCTATCCATCCATCCATCTTATTAGCAGAAACAAAAGTAAAAATGACTTTGTTTTGCATGCAGAAACAATGAAGTTCTGTATGGATTTAGCAACAAGGGAAAGAAGTTGTGCTCTCCACACTTGGCTATGTAAAGATATACCCAACACTTTCACCAAGGTCATTTTGCTGTAATTGTGTGGGGAAGACTGGAAGGGATTATAATTTAGTAAGTGGAGACCAAAGCATTGTATTTTCCTCTCTCAGAGAAAGGCTTGTGTGGAAAGAATGAGGCTGAAGTGTTGGTCTTTAACATGAACAGGAATGCTGAAAGGCTGCAAAGGTAGCAGTGTGTTATCTGGTACCACCTGGAGAAAGACACGTATACCCCTTGCCAAGTTCTGGGAGGTAGAGTCAGTGGGGGGGGGGGGGGGGCAAGAGAATCACTGAGCCTCCCTTAGACTCAGGTGAAACTTTGCTCATGATTCTGCCTCTTTTTGTTCTGAGTCCATCATCCCCCTTATTTCCATATAAGGAAGAGAGTATGTAATTGAAGGCTATGATCAGTCAGGCACCAGATGGGACGGTGTCCCACTTCAAACCAATTGTTGACTATGCTAGCCTCATGTGAGTCTTCCTCCTTGGGATCATTCAGTTTCCAGCTTAGTGGCCTCCCACCTAGGTGTGAGTACATTCATCAAGATTGTGTGCTTTCTCCACTGCGAGCTTCTGATGACAGCTGTCAGCTTTCCCCTAGTGGCATAGCTGATTTGCCATCCTCAGTAACAGTCACTGGTTTTAAAATTGTTATGATACCCAACATGAGTCAGGTACTTTAATAGAAACTCTCAATATAACCACAAGCTACCTGATCTTCTCCCAGGAAGCAAATTCCAGAGGTGAGAGCCAAGGAGAGTGCAGGTGAGGGAGCCCAGGATGAACCCTACGGCTGACTGTTCAGGCAGACACTGGCTCTTCCCAGGGCACCATTCTCTTGAAACAAAGCATAACCTTTTGATTAATTTGTCTGGGAAGATGCCACCATCCCTGTGCCTCTTTCTCTCAGTATACTTGCATGAACTCCAGCTAATTTAGCACACATGGAGACAGGTCACTGGGATGATGGAAGGCACCCGAAGTAGGAAATGTTAGAAAAATGTGTCCGTAATTGGTATTTATTTCACTAATTTACAAGATCCTGGATGCTCTTGAAGAAAACCAATGTTCCCGGTGTAAAAATAAATGGGAAGATATTAGAGTTAAGTTTCATATTTATTAAGACATAATTCTCATATTCTCTGTGCAATTCCCAAATTGCATATCTATATTTTATATATCTTACATACTCAGTAACCTGGAGAGGTTTATTTCATGCAATGAGATATCAATTATTTAGACAGATTCACTAGTCTGTTGTCCTAGCAAATAAACAGAATGCAAGCCAATGGTTCTGGCATATGCATGCTTAATATTCTTGCTCATGGCTATGTGTAGTAATACACAGTAACTCCACTGATGAAATGTCATTGTATTGGAACTGCGAGCCAATTCTTCAATGCAATGAAAAGTTCAAGTATGAAATGCTGAAATACGAATTGCTATCTCCCAGTGAGTTAGGGGGCCTTTAGCTATTCGAGTTCCTAGTTCTAGTAAACTCAGATTTCCTTTTAGAAGATGCCTAGCTATATTTAGTAATTAAATAATGAAAAATTATACAAGTGGGACTAATAAACAACTGTGATAACCACATTGTTTTTACTTATTATAAAAGGAAAGATGGTCATTACAAAAACTACATTTAAAATATGAGACCAGAAATAAAAGTACCAACTGATTCTTACCATCCAGAAATAGCCCCTGGATTCTGTGCTCCTCTACTGTCTCCCAGTAATGTTTATTTCTGTAGTTTGGGGTATGTAGCCCAGCTCACAGGTCTCATAATCCTGTGGGAAAAAATGAATTTGTATGTATTTTTTATTCTTGGATTTCATCTCGCTTAGCATCATCTTATAAAAATGAATTTATATTAACATTGGCATCCAGATAACCTTTAATTATCCGTTATTCCTTTTTTTGTATGTGGACTCTTTTACATTCCTACACACAAAAAACATAATTTTCATGCAGTTACATCCAGCATTATTTCAGGTTGTGATTTCTGACTTTAAAGTCATTCTTGAATATTTCCCCTGTATAGCTTTGACCCATCTAGAATTTTATAAAGCATGATGTAGGAATATAAGTTTGTTTTTTCTGTTTACCACTGTCTCCATATGATATATTAATTCATTCTTCCCCTCCTTGAGTTCCATGTCATCTTTCTCACAAATATATTCACCCTTATACTCAAGTCTAATATTCTGGATTCTTTTTATCCCATTAAGATGCTCATTCCTGAGACAGCACAAGTCTCATTTAATCTGTATAGCTTTTCAATATATTGCAATATTTCATAAGGCAGGAGCCATCATTCTTCTTTTGAAACATTGCCTTGGCTTCTTAGTCTGTGGGAATGATTATTTATTTTTATTGTTTTTACAGTAGGACTCATGATGATATGAATTTAAAAGGAATAAATCCCAGCCCAGGCTGAACTTAATATTCCCTTTGCCCCTTACTTGAAGGGCCAGAGATTTGTCTCTTTTATTGGCCTGTTCAGAGCCCCAGTACAGAGTCTGCCCTTGGTGTGGATTGCTGCATGGGTTCCTGAGGGACTGCCACATTTGTCAAGGTTTGTCTGACACAGTCAGCACTGTCACAATCCAACTGTCAATATCACATCTTCAATACCAATACTGCCTTTGAATTACTTATTTATGAACAGGGAGCCCTGAGTAGAGTTTCTCCAAGCCCAAGCAACAAAAATGGTCTTATATTGGAAGGACCACAGTCTTTTCATTAGAGAGGACTGAAGGCAAAAAGATCACAGACTGATTTGTGACCCTGTGAAATATTTATTGTCATTTGCTGAATTTGTCCTTTGCCAAGGTCGTTTGCTGAGTAGCCAGAAGGTCTCAGGAACCTTACTACAAAAATATCATTACAGTATCCCTTACTATTTTGAACCTTTATCACTACTTTTAGACTTTTCTGTGTCATTAGTACATGCAAAAAAAAGCCACTTTTCAGTTTTTAAAATATTCAACAGTTAGGCACGATGCCATGGAAGGGAACTTTACCTCTTACCCCATTTCCCAACAGCCCTGAAAGCAGGGCTTGAGTGGAAAGCAACACTTCACTTTGCTGACAAGTCTTCAGTTGGCTTCTCTCTGTGTGAATCAAATCATGTAACAAATCTCAAAACCGAACCAGGATCTTACCAGGGTGAGAGAAGAGAGGAAATGACAAGGGGCGCTGGGGAAGAGGAAGGAAGGAACAGGAATGAATGATTGAAAATAAAACATTATGATTGCTTCTCACCCCTGAGTTTAACCCATTTTCTTTTAGAAACTTGAATTTAGCCAGGTTCTAACTATCATCCCCACACAGCCAGTGCTAGCGTTAGCTAGATATACAGGTGAATGAGACTTGGAGTAAAAGGTAAAACCATAAAAGCACAAGAATGAATCACAGATGGATGTTTTTTATAGTGAGAGGGTAAGGATTCCTTATCCAAGTCTGATACCAAGGGCAAAATTACAAAGTGAAAAGATTGCTAAGTAGGACTTTATAAAAATAATAAATGCTGGATCATATTTTTTTAAAAAAGAAAACAAAACTGGAGACTCACCTGCAATCCTGATTCATGTCCAGCTTTTCCACCCTGCCACACCCACCTGTATATATATACAGACATACATATGATCCTGTATGTGCTTATATGTATATTTTTATATTTTAGATCTAACATCCACGTATGAGAGACAATGTGGGTTCTTTGTCCTGAGTCTGGCTTACTTTACTTACTATAATGCTTTAAAGGTCCATCTATTTTCCTTCCAATTACACAATTTCGTTCTTCTTTATGACTGAATAACATTCCCTTGTATATATATATGTGGCATCTTCCAGGTCCATTCCCCAGTTGTAGGGCAGATGAGCTGTTTTCATAGCTTTCCTTAGAGGAGGAACACAAAGGCATAATGCCTATGTGCCTCTGATCATATAAAATAATATTTATCAAAACGAATTCCAAGAAATGGAAACAAGAGGTTTTTTTTCCCTTTGTTGTTGCTTTCTTTTCTTTTTGTCTTGTTTTTGAGAGGGTAATGGGGGGGGGGACACAGAAATGGAGGGACAATGGGTAAACAAATGCAGCAGTGGTACTCAGTAGACACTATGTTGAAAATGAACTATGCAACTTGTAGGTGGGAAAAAAAATTTTAAAACACACAAAACAACCAAACAACTTGTGGGTAGGGACAGGAGGAAGACACTGGGAGAGAGTGAGGGGAAGGGTAACACTGTCCAAAAAGAAATATACCCATTACCTGACTTATGTAACCGTAACCCCTCTGTACATCACCTTTATAATAACATTTTTTTGTCAGTGGTAGGGCTTGAACTCTAGGCCTGGGTGCTGCCCCTGAGCTCTTTAGCACAAGCAAGCGCTCTACTATTTGAGCCACAGCACCACTTCTGGTTTTCTGGTGGTTAATTGGAGAGTCTCACAGACTTTCCTGCCAGTGCTGGCCTTAAATTGTGATCCTCAGTTCTCAGCCTCCTGAGTAGCTAGGATTACATGCGTGAGCCACGGGCACCTGGCTATAATAACTTTTTTAATCCAGAAAAAGAAAAAGGAAAGGCAAACACCAACAACTTCTTTCTGAGGGCCACATTTACCCAGATAACCACTTGACTTGTTCCTTACTTCCTATGGGTCCCTGCTCAAATATCACCTTGCCCGTGAGGCCTTGTGGACCCTCCCTAGATAGAGCAACACCTTCCTTTATCACTCCCTCACTTCGCTTATCTATGTGCTGCACAAAAGATATCCTGTCTTCTGACTAATGTAATAATTATGTAAGGGCTAGAATTTGTTTTAGAGCCAGAATTTTGTTTGTAGGTTCTAAATAAACATGTAAATGAATTTAAAAATATAGAAATAAATCTCTTTAGAGAGGCCCTAGAGTCTGGGCCAGAGGGAAGTAGTAAACTAAGTGAAGACAGAGATTCAGACAAAGCAGAGGAGAGGTAGAACAAAAGGCTCTAGTGTAAACTGAAAGGGATCATTTTGTCTGTTTGTCTTCCCTCATTTCCACAGTCCAAAGTGCTTCGGGAAAAATGGCTGCTGCAGGGAATGCCCGCAGGAACTGCCGAGGAAGAAGAAGCCAGGAGAAGGCAGTCTGAGGAGGATGAGTTCAGAGTCAAGCAACTGGAGGATAACATTCAGAGGTAGGTCATTTCCAGCCCTTGGACATCGTTGCTGTAGTGTGCCATGCAGTAACCACTCTTCTCCACTAGGGGTCCCTTTTCTCCATGCCGTCACCTTTTCCCCGGGTATTATATTACCTTCTAAACCAACATATGCATGACTTGACGTTTCCATGTAACTCAGATTATTACTCAAGAGTACTCTTATTGTATTGGGTTGTAGTACAATACAGGGATGTGTTCACGGGCCCCTCAGGTGTTGTGAGCCCCTTTTTTGAGTTCATTAACCTCTGGATCAGGATGTTAGCTGTTCCTGCCTCAGTCATGGATGTTTGCAGATTTGCTACATGGGATCAGTTTGAAATGAGGAAACTAGCCAAGGGTCTTAGGATTGAAATGAAGAGTACATAGGGGCAGCCAGTGGTAGGTTTGCCTGCCTGTGTTGCACAAATGACCCTTCAATGGTCTCCTTCCACTGCTCAGAGAGTGGTTTGCTTCCTCTTTGGTTCTCAACCATTTCTGACCATTTCATTCTGGAAGACAAGTAACCTGCCTAGGGCTGTTGGCTGGCCAGGCTCATCCAGGAGCAAAAAACATAGGTTTGCACTTGAGAACTACAACTATCCAAGAGGTAGGACTGAGAGTATGCAGTACTGAGTGTAGATAACTTAGAACCAAGACTACCCCTTTCAACCCATTCCCCCAAATCCTGCCAGGTGTCCGGCCTCCCATGCTTCATCTCCTTGGAGGTGAATGGTGAAGATGAAAAGGTTTGTCCAGGGTAATAGAAACTGAGGCAACAGGAGAATAAAGCATTTGAGGGCAGCCTGGGAGACATAGTAACACCCTGTATCTAGAAAGGGGGAAAGAAAGCAAAGATCAATAGCTAAACTGCTACTCACCATTTATTCTCAAAATATATGAAAACTCGAGGTACCTCAGTGCCTTTGGTTGTGTCACTAAAGAACCAACCAGCTGACTAAAACCCCAAAAGCATCCTTCACCCTGTGCCCATAGTTGGATTAGGTCCTGATATCCTGAGAAAAGATGTTAGGATAGCTTGGGTAAACTTTGCTACTATTCTATAGCAAACAAATAAGATATTTGTGGGGGGCGGGGATTGTAGTCATATATGTATATATACATCATGTATATGCATGTGTTTATGCATATACTCTCAGAATATAAAAGTAAAGACTAAACTGTAACAAGCCAGTTATAAAATATACATACATGTATGAATGTATGTGCGTGCACAAGGAAGCTCTTATAAACAGAAGGCCAAAAGAAGATTTGGAAAACAGGATCCAGTTATTATGACCTTTTCTATTTGTCTTGTGGTCTTCTAACCAAATTGCCTATTTCACCTTGGCTTGTGTACAGATATGTTATTATTATGGTCCAGGAGGTGATCATTGTTCCCTTAAAAGCTGAGCCATGACACCTAGAGGTTAGAGTCTTAAATGGAGACCCAGTTTGGGCTAAATTGATCACTAGCATGAAATGTGAGAGGTAGGAGGCTGGTTTATTCTGAAGACAGGAATGACCGTAGTCAGAAAAATAAAGTCCTTTTATCTTTGTGTGAAGAGGGTAAAGAGCACACGCCATGCATGTAGGCAGTCTCTTGGGCCTATTTAAGAGCTAGATACCCACTCAGGAAGGAAAGAAAAAGGGTCATGGTTAGGCTCAGACTCCGGGGATGTTTCTTCTGCTGCTATCATGGTTCTACCAGGTGTTGGTCACCCGGGTACTGGGTGTGGGCTGGGAATGAGCTGTATTCCCTGGGCTGCTCTCTGTGAGCAGCGCTACCATGGGCACCCACTCCTCCTCAGGTCCTTCTGAAGGAGGACCTCTTTCTCACCTTAGAAGCCAGTTTCTGCTTCTCTTGTGCTGCATCTTCTCTACTGCAGGCTTAGTAACCCCTCTCCAAAATGCTTGGGATAGAATCCATATTTTGAGGGGACAGGGAATATTTGCCCATACATACTGAGATATCTTGGGGATGGAACCCATGTCTAAATACAAAACTTACATTTCTTATACATGTAGCCTGAAGGTAATTATTTTTTACTGTGCATGAAAGGTAATATGTGTGCCTTGAACCTACAGCAAGCAGGTGTGGAGTTTTCCACCTGGGGTGTCTGCTAGTGCTCATATAGCCTTGGGTCAAATTTTTCCAGATTTTAGATTTTTGGATTAGGCTTGCTATTTTAGGCTTCCATCCCAAGGGAAGAAAGGAGCTGTTCTCCCTCTTCCCATAAAGGACACTCAATCCCCTAATACCCTCCCTGTGGTCAGGAAGAGCTGAGCTTTCTCAGAGTACCATTAGAACAGCTGTGGGACTCCTGACACAATCCCTGGCTTTGGTTACATGACTCTGCTGGCTTTGGCTGCCCTCAGCTAAGTGGCCGGAAGCTGTAGGTTTGATGCATCTGCTCATCTTTTTCTCTGCCCTAACAAGCTAACAGACTGCTTTCTTTTCTCATTATGACAACAGCAGACAAGCAAGAGGACTGAGCAGAAAGGAGGCAGAAGCTCAGAACTGCCCATAAAGCCATTAACTAAATAAAGCAAGTTAGTGGTCAAGTTCACAGTCAAGAGGAGGAAATAGGCAGCCAACTTTTAGTGGGGAAAACATAGATCAGAGAGGGGGAAGGGGGAAGAAGGTAATATAAGCAAATAATTCAATCTTCCAGAAGCATGATTATTGAAACAAAAACTGCAAGCATTAAGGAAAACTGACCAGCCTGAGACAAATAAAAGCACAAAACAGTGCAGAAGGAAAAGAAAGACAGTTAGAGAAGGAATGTTAGTGACTCCCAAGATCATATTGCGAAACTCATCTTTATATAATAGGACCCAGAAACCATGTGCAGATGGGATGCTACAGAGCCACTAAATAAAGGAATTCCAAAGGAAGCTTTCTATATTTGAAGCAAAACATCAATCTGTACATTTTTTAACTTTCGGGCTCACTGGTCTAAGTCACGCCCTAGCAATACATTAGATTCTGCTAAAGAGGTACATAAACAGTTTTCAAAGTGTGAACTATATTATTAGGATAGACGTAACCTGAACTAATAGTAGTTTGAAGCAATTAAAGGAAGAAGAAAGAGGAGAAGTCAAAGGGAACAATTCCTACAAGACTGAGGGAAAGTTTTGAGTCATTTTGTTCAGAAAAAGAGATGGTGGTAGCAACCTAACGTAAAATGTCAAGTGTAGCTAGAATTTAGGTTGTGTCTTAATTCTTTATGTCTAAAAATGATACAGACTTCAACTAAAGCATATACATTTGCATAGATCTGTTTCCCTAGACCTCTTTAAGAAGAAAGGACACAATCACTTTCTAATTCTAGAAGTCTTTATAGAGCAACTTGCTGTATAAGAAATTACAAGTTTATAGACATTTTGTCTTCCAAAATCTTACTTAATATGATTAGAGGTGGTTTGGTGTGAAGAATTCTTGTCTTCCTTCCAGGACTGTTGTTCGTGTTGCTTAGATTTCCTAGAACAGCCCAAGAAGGGAAGGAAAAAAGAGAGAGAAACTGTCACTAGAATATTAATCTTGGACATTTTTGTCACTTGGGATGCTTTAAAAAAAAATGAGAATTTCCATGCCTTATTCTATAAATGTGGATTCATTGACCCAAATAAAGAGGTTTGGAATTTTTTGTGTGCTGATTAAAGAATGCTGTAAATGGAAAGAAAATAAAGCATAGATTTTAGATGAAATCCCATTTTAATAATTAACCCCTGCAAAAGGAGAGTGAGAAATAAATAGTGTTGATAAGAATATGAGTAATAGATACAAGATCAAGGACAGCCCTGACGCTTGATTTCAGACCCATTCAGAGCCTTGCCTTTTGGCACTAAGAAATTAGAAAGTTTCTTCATAGTCCCCATAATGGAGACCAGTGGAGACCAGCTTCTACTGGTTAGAAGTAGCCTCCCTTATCAGGCTAAAACTGATACGGGAAAAGCTGGCTACAATTTTTCTAAGTCTTCTGACTGAAATGAAAAGCATTACTGCCTTAAGTGATGACATTGAATTGGATGGAAAGGAAAGAGAGAATCTCATCACTACCACGTGGGTCAATGATCATTAATTTTGTGCATTCTTCTCTGCATAGTGTCAAGAATTTTATTTTGGCTTGCTGGAAATGAGGATCAGCATAGTTGAAAGCAAAATCTATTCATAAGTCTTTCTCTCTTTCCCTCTCATTCTTTCTCTCTGCTCTGCTGAGAAAGCCTTGTACGTTGTTTCTGGCTTGATGCCAGGGCCAGCCATCATCCATGTCATCCCAGGACCTCACAAAGCCTCACACTGATGCTCTTGGAGAGCAGGGAGTTAGAAACATATGACCCTTGTTTATCTCCTATCTTCTCCAGTCAAAAAAAAGGGGGGTGGGCTTGTTGCTTGCCTTGTGATTCTTTTCCACTTCAGATTCTCTTTGTCCCTTCGTGTGTATTATTCAAGGGCTTAATACGTAATGTTCTTAACTTTTTTGTTTGGTGAGAAATATGGGGAAAATTTAGCCTCATACTTCACCTGTTCGAATTGTCATCTGTGTTTATGAGAGATCCCACGGAGTGTTAAATGCAAATGCAATGAGCTGTCACAAAGCTAGGTATGCATTCCAGCTCCACTGACGATTTCCTCTGTGACCTTGAACAATCTCATGGTCACCAGTTCCCAAGTCCTTATTTCTTCAGTGGGATTGTCTCTTGAAATCTTCCAGTTTTGGTCATCTGAGTTTCTCTTAGTTTGAAAAGTTGGCCAAAGAGCTTTTCTCTGAACAAATGTATCAGAGACATCTCGGTGGAGTTGTGGAAGGATGTGGTTTTGGTTCTCAGGAAACAAAAGATGCAATGTGTAAGTAGCTGATTAATCATAACAGAGATGATTCATTCACCGAAGCAGCTGTCAGTTCTAAAATATGTCACATCAAATATTCATTGAATAAAATATTGACGTTATAGTGTGCTAACCATAGAGGGCCAGGTAGCTTTTTAAAAAGACT